CACACATCACCCAAAAGGGGTAAAAAATAGGCGCCACATATATGAGTGAAAAGTAAGTTATCTGGCGTAAATTATCGCCGAATAAGGTGGTGAGTGGGACACGGAAATGCGCTCGTGGCAGTTTTGTTAGCCACTGCTCCTAATTCTGACACCAGACGGCTGGAACACTCGAACAGTCCACTGCCACACGGAAGGGGGCACGCCAGCGCATTCCTCAAAGCAATTAAGTTGACGCGTTTGAGCCAATCACGAGGTGCTGATGGTCATAGATTGGAAGGCTGTCAGATGTGCGCGTGTGTGTTGCCTCTAAGATTTGCATGCGTCTGCTGTGCCATGGTTCAGAAGATCGTGGCCCTCGCGGCCTGGTGTGCACTGGCAGTTCCCTGACACCCGGTTCCCTACCGGCAGATGAGCTTACACTCCCGCGTACGGCGGCTGAGTTTCGTCAGCTGAATGTCCAACTACTGGACAATAGCTCTCGAAACCAACTGGTATGCTACCCAATTTATAACGCCCTCTTGTATTAGACATTCTACCTCGCATGCCTTGATGGGCACAATGCAGACGACTTCGTGGATCGAATATTTTTGGCCCTATTCGAGGACGAATTAAGTTTTTATGTCAGTTTCAAGGAAAGGAAGACGAAAGAAAGCCTCAGCAGATCCAAAATTTTATGAGGCTATAGTTGGTCTGTCTGTCACTACTTACACAACTCTATGATATTCAGACCTTGAGTCTGCTTTTATCAAGCGCCTGAAAAGGCCGCTGGACAGCTATGTCCAAAGGAAACGCAAGTCGTGAGGTAACAGAGAAGAGAGTGGTAAATAGATTGCCGTTTACCAAGAACTAATTCTGACTTGTAGACAACATCCCAGGAGCTTCTTCTGATTGCCGGCCTCCGTCGACACAGTGATCACAATAACCGTCTTCAAAGTGCCTCTGAGTTAAAGGGGGGGAAATAAACACACGAAAATGAATGAATGGGACGTAGAAAAGTGTATTGGTTAAAACAAACGATTTTAAGCGCACAGTATTAAGCCCCATTTTCGCCGTCGGTGTAGTATCTCGATTAATCGATATCTAATAGATATATATATTTGCAACAAAATAGATATCCAGTCGATATACGAATCGGGACAAATAGATATCTACTCCATATAGTTTGCTACTAGGGTCGCGGCGTGGTGTGCGCTGGCAGTCCCCTGGCACCTGGTTCCCTGCCGGTAGATGAGCTTGCACTCCCGCTGGGCATACAGGTAGTGAGCATGGCTGCCCAACCCTCCTAGTCTTTTTGACCCGGTGTAGTGCTGTTCTTGTTGGTTAAAATCCGGGACAAGTGTTTGTTGTGGACCGAGAGGTGTGGCGGTACGCCTAGATGCGGATCCAGCCCTGACGACCACCTGCGCTCTCTCCCGCCTTCGGTCTTCTTGACTGTCTTGACATCGGGTTCAGGTGTGAGAGGAGGAGAAAGTGCGGTACATGCTGCGCAACTCTATCCTCACTATAAATTAAATCCCGCTCAAGTCACCATGCCTGCTCTCACCTAACCCTAGAGCACACGGCGGACATCGTGGGACACGATGGTCGAACTGTCGTCACCAATATAACGAGCCAGGTGGCACGGGGCGTGCCGGGCCTGCTTCACTTAGCTGTGGAGCCCACTCTGGACGGCGTCGGTTGTGGTGATCGACCTACAGTGTGCCGGGAGCTGGGCCAATCACTGCCGCGTCATCTCCATCTCTGACTGTAACACCGTAATAGACCAGATGGTAAACGTCCACCAGGTGAGCTAGATACTGTTCTGTTGAATTTGCCTGTTCCCAGCACCTGGAAGAACTGCTGGCCCCGGAGCAAAACGTCCCTCCGTGGAGATTCAGTGGCGTCATCTACGAACTGCTATTGGCACGACTACTTTGGGCGTCCTCGGTCGCGCACGTCGCCAGCATCAGGACTGGTCCGACAAAAACGACGCAGAAAGCAGCTAACTGTCCCGACGAAAAGTCTACATAAACCATCATACCGACGTAAACAAGGGGACTTTCATCAGCTGTTGCTGCTTAGTGCAGCAACAACTGAGGGAGACACAGAACGCCTATGTGATTCGCAAGGCCTCAAAAATCAAGGGGTATGCTGACTGCAGTGAAACAAAAAATCCTTTGCGTCAATCAAGGCGATCTATAGTACCGCAGCCAAAGGAACTGCACTGCCTCTCAGCTCCAATGGAACAACGCTTCTGGCAGAAAAATAACAGATTATAAAACGTTAGACTGAAAACTTCAGAAGTGTCCGCAGTCATCCATTTACAATTTACGAGGCCATCATCAATTGATTCCCTCAGTCGGAGACAAACGAGGACATGGATCTACCGCCTTCCCTCCCAGAAACTGTCCGCGCCGTGCACTAACTATCCAACGGGAAAGCGTCGGTATCCGAAGCGACTCTGGCCGAAGTACACAAGCACGGCGGACCCTGGTTAATGGATCTACTCGCAGCATTATACCAGGAGATGTGGCGCCAAGGACAAGTTCTTCAGCACTTCAAGGATGTGACAATCGCATATGTCTGCAAGCGTAAAGGAACCAGTAACTCTTTTCCAACTGAGGGAGAATGTCGCTATTCTACATCGCCGGGAAGATCGTTGCACCCATCCTCTGCAACAGTTTCAATGGTCATCTCGTGCAGGGACTTCTGCCGAAAACTCAAGGCGGATTCCAACTCCGCCGCTGAACCACCGATATGATCTTCGTCATCCGCAGACTAAAAGTAAAACGCTAGAAAGTGCTTACTCACCCCTACACTAATTCCATGGACCTGAGGAAAGCCTTCAACATGGTGAATCGCAAGGGATTGTAGAAAATCATACAGAAATTCGGCTGTGTCGAGCGATTCATGCAGATCGTGCGTCAGCTCCACAAAGCCACGATGGCACGCACAGGGATAATGGGACTGTATCAGAAGCATTCGCATTGACCAGTAGAGTGAGGCTAGTCCGTGTACTTGCCTCAACTACCTGCAGCCTCATATTCACTGCCATCCTGATAGACGCCTACTCTAATAAGCGCCCGGGGATCCGCATTGCTTACAGGGCAGGCGGCCACCTAAACAGCCGGCAGATGCAGGACTCAACGCACCTCTCCACGGCTACTGTCCACAACCTGCTCTTCGCAGACGATCGTTCATTAAATATCTCTGTCCAAGAAGGATTCAAAGGAGTGTGGATTTCTTTTCGCCGGATGCACAAACTTCGGGCTGACTACTCCACGGCGCCAAGTCACCTGGACCAGATGAGATCCCAGGTGTACTCCTGCGTCAGCTAGCTGAAGAATTAGCAGAGCCACTTTCTATAATCTTCCAAAAATCGCTGGAAACTGGCAAACTACCTGACACATGGAAGTTGGCAAACGTCGTACCTATCCACAAGGGAGGATCACGGCTATGTCCCACCAACTACCGGCCGGTTAGTTTGACATGCATTTGCTGCAAACTGATGGAAAGGCTAGTTAAAAAATCTATTACATCACTCGATACTTTCCGCTGTCACATCGCCTCAGTTCAACATGGCTTCTGCGAAAAGAGGTCCTGTCTCACAAATCTGCTTTCGTCACTCGAACATTGGTCAAAGGCCATGGATAAAGGATATCCAGTTGATGTCATTTACTTTGACTTCAGCAAGGCGTTCGATTGCGTCCCACATAAGCGCCTCATCCAAAAGTTATCAGAAGTAGGGATAAGAGGAAATCTTCTGAACTGGATTCAAGATTTCCTAAACGGACGGCAACAAAAAGTCACTGCGGGCGGCTACTGCTCAGAATGGGCACCTGTTACGAGTGGAGTCCCACAGGGGTCAGTTCTTGGGCCGCTCCTATTCATTATCTATGTAAATGACCTGGTACGGGAAGTGAAATCAGACATAGGCTAGTCCGTGTACTTGCCCCAACTACCTGCAGCCTCATATTCAATGCCATCCTGATAGACGCCTACTCTAATAAGCGCCCGGGGATCCGCATTGCTTACAGGGCAGGCGGCCACCTAAACAGCCGGCAGATGCAGGACTCAACGCACCTTTCCACGGTTACTGTCCACAACCTGCTCTTCGCAGACGATTGTTCATTAAATATCTCTGTCCAAGAAGGATTCAAAGGAGTGTGGACTTCTTTTCGGGCCGACTACCTACACAGACAAAACGGCGGTCATACATTAACCGCCACCGAATGCCGCATACAGTGTTCCTCGCATCCACATCAACAGCCCCGAGCTAAAGACCGTGGACAATGCTGCCTACTTAAGCAGCACACTCCCACTTTGCATCAAAATTGACGATGAAGTGATTCACCGGATCCCGAAAGCCAGCTATACCCTCGGTCAGCTGACGAACTACGTATGAAATCGTCATGGTTTCCATCCGAACACCAAATTGGAGTTCTAAAAGGTGATCATTCCGAATACTCTGTTGTATGGTGTGGAGACCTCGATGTTTTACGGGAAATAAACACGGAGACTTGATCACTGCTACCTTCGTTATCTCCGACGGATAAGAAAGCTAAGATTGCAGGACAGGATTTCGGACACGGAAGTTTTTAAATGCACTGGAATCCTTGGTATTTACGCCATGGTGAGGCAACTAGAACTACGATCAAGCGGACATCTCAAAAGGATATACGATGGGCGTCCACGAAGACATTTTCTTCAATGCAGATGTCGCCACGGGTGCTCGCCGACGAAGTGGTCAAACCCGTTGCTAAGTGGACACTGGTGCGAAGTTAAATCAAGCCGAAGACCTGAGAAGACCTCGCACAAACCCTATCGACGTTGAAAATTCACTGAAGACTGGAACAGGCATCTTTTAAGCCGACTGGATCGCTGCCGTCAAAGTCAACAGCCAAGTTTGTAAGCCCAGCGGTGCCTGATTTGCAGCGCTAACCTCTAAACTCTCCCAGCAGACCTGCTTCACCGACGGACATTCCGCGCGCGGATCGGCCTAGTCGGACATCTCCAAACCAATGCACCAACAGCCCGTCAAACCAAAGTGCTGCCTTCCGACTGCCCCTGCTCCAACCCCCACGGCCACCACCCCCCCCATCGATACTCAACATCCCCGCGCCCCGCCACCGCCGATCACCGCCATCCGAATCGTCCCTGCAGCAACCTTCGCGGCGACGAACAGCACCACAGCTCCCACTCTCGCCACCGACGGCCTGCCAATCACAACTCCCACCCGTATCACCTCCAGCTATGTGGACGCAGTCCTAATCTGTTCTCACTGAAATAGCAAATTCACCCCACGCACCGGTCTGGTCAGTCACTTGCAGATCCATCGCACCGCAACCGGCGCACCAATACCAGAAGGCCCCATATGCTCTCTCCGCATCCGTAAGCGCGAGTTACTCTCTCTCTGCGCCCACCGTGCCATAGGACGCACAGTGGACATCGTCATTTATTGTTATCATGCGTCCTGCTGTGCGCTGTAACTTACGTCGTCAAAAATAATGTACATACCTCACGTAACTTCAGTAAAACAAGCAGTAAAAGGACATATGATTATATGGCGGGCTGAGTGCGTCATTGTGTCAGGATATATAGTAATGCATTCCACTGATTCATGCACATGATGAGATCTTGATGGTAGGACATTACAGTAAGGATCGGGTGAAGGCGCTCAAGCATCTGTGGCATACAAAGGATACCTACTAGACTTATGTAAGGGGGTCTTAGTCCGACACGATTATTTCGGTTTGTTGCTTCATCGTACAAGGTTGGGTCGTCTGTTGTAGACGACGCGGCTCATTATCTACAATTAACTCAGCTCAAAGATTTGACAAGCGATCGTTGTAGATATCTAATGTTTATTTTTTTAATTGTCCTGCTAAATTTCGGTTGCTGTATATCAATGCATTAGAACTTCTCCGCCCGAAAAGCAAATTCACCCATTATCTATACTTATTTTGCCATTCCTCTATGCATAAATAGGTCCCGCCCGTAAAACTCCTATTGCCACCTTTCCCATAAGACAGGCACCTTTGGCTGGTCGTGTGTGTTTGTCGGCCTTCACCCGTCGCTGCGTGTGGGCGTAGCCAGAGTTCGTACGGTTCTCATTGCAAAGCGTTCTGCGGTTTCATCAAGAAAATTATGTGCGTGAATATGTGCACAGTCGTTTCACTTTACCGCTTTCTAGGCGTTCTTGTGTCCTGTTTCCGTCAATTTTGCCCATCCTGTCCATACAGACCCTGTGTTCACCGTAGTCCCTTTATTGGTGATCTGTTATGTAATTTCGTTGAAAGGGGGAGTGATGCCAAGCGACCTAACCCTCAGCTCTTCCAAGGAAAGCACCTTTTCGTACGTAGTAGTGTATTTATCGTTTTCTCCCCATTTGTAAGTTTTGGGGACCCTTTCAATGTCTACCTACCTAATGCAGTATATTTAGGGTAATTGGCAATGCCCCTGATGACCTTACAGAAAACGGTAGTTAAAAATTCATGTCCAAATAAACAGGTTATTAAACTGTTGTTAGTAGCATATACGTTTTGCATAGAAATGGTTCAGTGGCGTGAGACGGCAACCCGAACACTCGCAGTCTCTGTGAAGGCTACGAACCGAGCCCCAGATGGTCCTTTACGTGTACAGTTGAGATTGCACCAAGCGTGTGGGGATGTGTCACATAGGAACTGAAATCGGGAAATAAAGTTCGTGACTGGCCGTAGATAGGCCTGCAGTGAGAGTCGTCGTTTCTCAAAATCTAAACGACCAGCTGCCTTTTGAATGTAACCATGGCATCATATGTTACCATTTCATTCGGGAGCGAGTTTCACGGTAGAATTACCCGCTGACTGAAGGAAAACTTCCGTTGGTCTAGGTGCGTACATTCGCGTATGACTTTTTACGAAGGACCGCGCAGGTGACTCATGTTCGTAAACTCAAAGAAATCTTCAGACTAGAGCGAACAGTCATGCCCGCGGATAATGCGGAATGTCGAATTTATGTCCAGCTCGCTAATGTAGGTAGTAGAAACTGACCTTTTAGAAAAAAACCTCAAAACACGGGCACTTCCTGGTCGCCTAGATTATCATGCAGTTTTGACAAAGGAGAACAACACCAAGAGAGCCAACACCAAGGTGAACGCCCCCTACCATTGTATATTCCCGATCGAAAACCGACAGGGCGACGGGCTCGTGGTCCGGTGGGTAGAGGCGTGGACTTCTAAACCAACAGGTCGCGAGTTCGAGGCTCGGGTGTTCCACACTTCGGGCTTGGGTATGGTTGGCTGACGACGGCTAATAAGCCAGAAATGGCCATTCCAGTCTCCCTTGTCTTTGCCGGTAATACCATTCTGCCTATATATCATGCGCCGCTATGCGCGGCTGCTGTTTAGGATCTAGAGAGAGAGCTCTTAAGGCACAACGGAACGAGAGAGTTCCGTATGAACGATCGGTGAGCGCCCCCTACCATTAGATACAAATTACTGCTCAAAAGACAGTTAATCACATGTTCGTAAAGATTATAAAGGCCTAAGGGTTTTCGATTGTCACCGAGATTATATAAAAGTTATGGGTAGGGTCGTTGCCTGATGATTTTGCAAGCATATTAATAATAAGATTAGACGCCTGATATGTGTAGTAGAAACCTCGACTTCCGTAAAAGTTGCACCGGCGGATTAGCCGTTCCTCTGGAGTTAACAGTGGCGCTGTGACCTCTATTTTTTCAGCAACTGAACCCTGAAGATTAGGAGTTCATTTATTTTTCGCACGTCTTATGCATGCTCGGATTTATGTTAGGTTGCCAAGCCGCGTGTACTTGACAATGACAAACTGCTGGAAGACACGTGTTATCGGGTCAGCGTTTCACAGAGTTGAGCCGGCTTTGCACTGTGAAAAGTTCTAGTGCACACAAAACATGGAATAAAACTGCACGGTTAGCACGTGCCCGAATCGGTAATTTAATCAGCCAGATTTTAGAAACTGCTAAAGATACGAAAATCTCACAAGGAAAAGGCCTCTGTCCAGAAAAAAACGTGTTCGATGGGACAGCCTCGCTGGGTTAATTGACTGCTTGATTTTGACTTCCTTGCCTTCATGGCTCCCCGAAAGAGGCGAAAATGTTGACGATGCACCATCTACACAACCAGTCCTCTCTCTCTCACGGTGAGTGACTGTGTCAGTGGTTCTGCCGGAGGACACATTGGCTTGCTTGTCTGATCAACTGGAAATAAAAGTTAGTAGCATTATATCCAAACGTCTATGCATTAGTCGCAGGAACCTTGGCAGTGCTCTTCCCTGACAACGAGACAGGTCGTGAAAACGCCTCTTAATTGCCTTCAGTTGACAGGAAGTATTCATGAAATCGTCCTCAAAATGTACAGCTGGTGTTGACAAAAACGACCCACATTATAAGTTTTAATTAGGAACGCATGTGTCTGGCAACCATGATATTGTTTACAACCGAAAACATGACCTTATAAGGAGAGTCTGTAACTTCATCAAAGCAGATTTCTGTAGGAAAAATATAAATACTTGAATGGAAGAATATACGTTAACCGGAAAAGGTTAGTTTGTGTTCTGAATCTTCGGGTTGCGATTTCGGCCACCCATCTTCCGAGATTGACGAGTAGTGTGTACAGATCTCAGTGTATGGCAGATTTGGTTGGATGTGCAGATCTTCAGTACAATCCGTGGGTGAAGATGTACTACACTTCCACCGCGATCTAAGCCACCCCCGCGCTCGTTAACCGTAGTGATAATTGGCGGCCCGATCGCTTCACGCCTTCGTTGTTTCCCTTCGAGTCGGTTTGCGAAACCAAATTAGGGGAAAGGTTTATCTGGCGGTTGACTGAGCATATGGTGGACCTCCACGCTTCTTGCACCTAGCTGCATGTGTGATCGTTTCCTAGGCCCACGATCTAAATGGGACAAAAATAATGTGTCCCTTTGCCTCCGATCTCTGGTCTGGCCCCCAAACGGCCAACCGATACTCATGCATAGGCGTTTGCTGTTCTTGGGGCAAGAGGATAGGGAGCACAGACTTCCGTTCTTGCATATTCTCCTCTACAGCCAATCGAACGACCAGGTGGCGACCACAGTCTGCAGGAAATCGACCAACAAGCTGCAAATACTAACCTCAAACAACAATTCGCCAGTCGGTCGTGGTTATGCAGCCACACCTGCAGCAAAAAAACCCCAGCCATCTGTAATAGGGGATCGGTGGTAATAGGGGTTTTTGCAGATGGGGCCGCGGAACGCACAGGCGCCGAGTTCAAGTAATTGTATGCAACAGAAAAGCTATTGGGAATGTACGGTTGTACGTTGCGTAGTTGAGGAATAGTAGTCCTAACCACTAACCCCTACCCTAACCACTAATTCCTAACTCTAACCCCTAACCATAACCCCCAATCCCAACCTCAACAGTATCGTGTCCATCAAGTGGGGCTTCTTAACCACATCTTACCCAATCGCCCGTTGCAACACAAACGAGGCTACATATATACATGTACATGTTACATTGATGGGTGGGAATTCACTGTAGCACGCCAGAAACGATAAGATCAGGTTCCTCGGATAAATCATCAGAAACAGCACCCGTTCAGGAACACCCATCAAAATGATTCGAATGCCTCAAGGCGAGTGGGATAGAGATTGTCGTCAGCTAGAATCATAGTGGGGTATACTACATGTGAAGGAGGCCTTTGAGACCGAAGTTGGATGTTCCCTACGGTTCGGAATAGTAGTTGTCCATAAACACGACTTAACAATTCTTCAGTCGGTAATACGGCCAAAAAATCCGATCCATAACCAGGATAAGTCAATCGTTGTCTATGGAATTCATTACAAATAGAAGGATTGAAATTACTGTAGGTGGGCTAACTCATGAAATGTCAACCGAAATTCCGAAATGCGTTTTCGTTTCGAAAAGATTAGTTAAGTAGGGTTGTAAAAGTAATCAGTCTACAGCATAATTTTATAATAATTCAGTTACCGCAGGATGCCTGCTTTTAAACGAACTTCCTTCCGGCTGCATGCAAAGACTACACCCTGAAAAAATGACTACTTAAGTAGCATGCGCTTTTTTCATTGATTTTCGATGCTCCTAAAAGTCCAATTACCTTTCGAGGAAAACATGCATAAAAATATTCAATCTTTTGCTCATTCGGCGGAAAAGTACCTCTTTTTCCACTCTTATACTCAAAGGAAGGGTGCAATTTGGTTTTCCAAAAATTTTACACTTCCCGAACAATTGTTAATATGCTCTGCCATCACACTTGGAATCAGGGTTTCCA